AAAACAGGCTTTCCGTGAACTTGATGGAATCCACCTCCAGTACCACTAACTTGGTGTACTTCCGATCAGTGCCAAGCAGACTAAGTCTGAACTGTAACGAGGGTTCCAATCATCATTTAAAACACAAGATCTACCATCGGTTTTGGTTATGCAAAGTGGATTTCCGTGAACCGCTTACCTCGGCTGCATCGCCTTCGTTTATCATCACAAGCTAAGCAAGTCCTCACATTTTTTAAGTCCTGCGGCATTAACAACGGATCGCTTTTTGTTCAAGGCTATATCACCTAACACCCCGTTATTAAATCCAATCTGCAGGGTCTGATGCTTTTACCACAAGACCATACCCGTTACACTTCTCGGCCCAGTTAAGAGTTGGGCATTGGGTATTTGGTGGCACATACAAGTTTGAAGAGGTTAGGCTTATCTGCCGGGGAGCGTGATCGCAAAGCTTTCATTGCAAATCGTCCGCACTCAAAATGCCCTTGTTTTGTTTTCCCAGCTCTTTTATCTTTCAACAAAACAGGTAGATCACAAAAATGTCAACCTCAATCAGCTACGCGAGTTTTCCTTCACCTACAACACCAATGCAAGTAGGCAATAGCAACAGTGGCAACGACCAACAACAAGCGGATCCGTGAAAGGAAACGAAAACTGCAACTAAGCACACTTCTAATAGGTAGGTGGTCCACTGTCTTTCAGGATGAAACTCACCACCACGTTTCACGCATTTAAATGCCAATTTGTGTTTCGGGCTCAGAACAAACGACAACATGCAAAATTGGGTTTGAACGAAGGTGGTTGCAGAAGACCTTGAAAAATCCGACCAAGTAACCCATCAAATTGGCGAAAAGTGCGAGCAACGTGGTTGACAGAAGGAGTTGTATGCACGCCAGAAGTACAGAAACAATTCAAGTTAGGGTTTATGTATGAGCGGGCGGCTAGCTAACATCGAAAGTAGTCCGCGTTGGGATAAATAAAAATGGCAAGGAATAGCAAATAAAGCAACAGTGATCTGAAATGTGAATGATGGAAACAGTGGTAGCCGCTAAGGGCTGGCAGAGTTACTGTTAACATAAAGGAAGCCCTTCCGGTGGTTCCAATCATAGGGGATGACTACTGTATGCTACCATGCTCATTCACATCGTGAAGCTGAGATTTCAACCTAACCACTACTCTCGTGCACCATCTTATCGCACTAGCAAAAAGAAACTACACTACTTTGATGTAGGTTTTACAAATACAACAATTCATTAATTTAAATAATATTCGAGGTTCTGGGTTTATTACCAGTGACAGGGCAAAGCAAACATCAACTTACAGATTTTGTTAATGAGTTCGGCAGCTGCCAAGGGATTAACCTGCCGTAGGTATGCATGCAGACTAGTCATGGCGGCCTCGTTGTGTCGTACGATGCGTTTAACCAGAGGTTCGATTGACGAAGATGAAAGACTTGAAGCGTCGACAACGGCACTTGGGTTGGCGCTACAAGCAGTCACTCCAGATGGTTCTTCAGGCTTTACTTCTTCACTGGTTGCGAAATCAAGATCCGTAGTTGGAGCGAGGGCAGAGATTTTGGCTGTGTTAGCAAGGAAAACAGAGAAATTGCACCACAAGTACATATAGCCTTGTCAACAAGTCTGTGTCAAAGGCGTTGGGAGAAAGCAGGACCGCCTGAACTGATACGACGTTGGATGTTTGAATGGTGTGTGTGTGTATGTGTGAGGGTGTGTCGTATGACGCATGAAGCGATCAACGCAAAACGGATATTTTACCCAATCAACCATATGTGTTCGTGCGCACGATTTGGAGCTGCAACTTTCTTAATAACCTATTCTACTTTGCTTTGCTGGAATAACGTAATCCCGACGAAGCTAGGTAGCAACACCGTTTACTAATTCTTGAAAGTTTAAGCGATTTCGTTTGGAAAAAGAGCATTTATTTTGTAAATGGAGCATTCACAAAAGCTTTTAGCATAAGATTTAAAAGTGAATGTTCAGTCACCCCCTTGTGAGGTCAATGTGGGCGTTGTTCAAGCATCAAAACGTGCAAAATGAATCGTATCAGTATGCAACTTAGTGAACGAAATCTCACAGGAAAAAGTCCCCTGTAGGAGATTGTGTAAGGCGAAACCTAGAAATGTTCGTGCAGCCAAATACAAGCCAGATCGTCAGTTATAGGTTACTGTTCGGCTACTATCGCATTGGTTTCAGCTATTACGCAACGTGACAATTACTATAAGTGGTGTAGCTAATGGTAACAATCAAGCAGTCTATACCTAAGGTTCACTAATAAAGCCGTCAGAGCATTTACACGCTTAAACGTATGCATTGACCAAGACATGCGTACACGCAAAATGATCATATACATTAACATTCCGTTCAACAACCAAAATCCCCGTAAGAGAACAGCGATTCACCTCTTCCAAAGTTCATAATAATTATGGAATACCATAAATCGCGCTTTAGGCGGTATTAGATAACTTTTCATCAACGGCAGAATCTGTGCTACGAAACTAGCACTCCCGGCCAATATACTGGCACCGCGGTTCAGGTGTTCGATTCTCGCTAGATGATTTGAGTGCACTACAACTAAGTAGCACAAAGTTTTCAAACTAAATCAAAAAGTAAACAAAACAATGTTTGAAGCATTCAGACGTGTTCGGATGAAACTCATGAATTGGCGCTTAATGGCTGCGCGATTCAACTTCGGTATTCTTAGGCGTTATTTGGAGATCGAAACACACCTTAAAGGTTTGTAATTCAAGAGAAACATCGACACCAACAGAACACCAAGCCACAATATTTTTTCGTCCGCACAATAGCTCAGACAATGTTTATCAACCTATCCGATTTTGACATCAAAAAAAGTGTTCAATGATTAAAATCAGAGAGAAGAAAAATACGGTAAACAAATTTATGTCATCACAACAAAGAACTTGCCATCGAGAATACGAATAAGTTCCAGGGCCTGATGGAAATCACGAATGCTATCAGAAATGTACTCATTTGCCTCCGATTTACTTGATTCAACTAGTACCTCTTCGTCGCAAGTTGGTTCTATGCAGAAAACAAAGATGCAATAGGACAGTCTGGGAGACGCTAACTGACATGCAGAGTTCCTCAAAATGCCATCATTTGTTAACCAAAGCAAATTTTGCGGCACGATCTCGTAAAAATAGCCACTGGGAATAAGATTACGTGAGTCCGACAAACAGATTACTACTTGCATTTAAACTTGTACACAGCGAAATCGCAAATAATTATATGGCTTCTAAACGGCCAGATTTAATAATCGATTCAAGCAAAAAATGCCTATGTACACTACACAGGACCACAGATTTTACATAGCTAACTGTACCTACACAGAGGTATGTAAGCAGGTTTGTGAATGCACTCATAGCGCTTATAGGCAGGTATCAGCAACGTCACACTTACCAACAGGTTGGTTCTGTACAAGCTCTGCGTCAATGTCTTTACATGAATTTATTTCCCCATCGACCTCTTTAGATGCTAGAACTGAACTCAAACCTGTTGAAGTAATGACGACATTAAAGATTTCTGAAGCGCATTAAGTCCTGTACAAACATAAGAAATTACCTTTGTTGGAATCTTCCGTGTCAGGTAGTCCGTTAGCGAATCCAGTTGCTGTCATAAAATAAAAAGACCAGTATTATTTCATCACATCTGTAGATGACAAATAATGGGTTGACAAGAAAGCAGTTGTCATTTTCAGAAATAGCATTGACTGCTTCTAGGGGTCTTTGCCAGTTTTGCTATTTTTATTTTTATTTAATCTAAGAGACCGCTTTCAGCTTCCGAATCAAATTGCTCATAATTTGATTTACTAGTGTTAATTTTGGAGTAGACGTTAACACGGAGTCCAAAAAATTAGACTTCCGACATACTTTGCCTTTTGTTTCAATACAGAAAAAAGAAACATGCTGCGGCAAACAAAGAAATGTGAAATTCGTGACACTAATTGCCTAACAGGACGCGCACGTGAGAAGCAGCGTAAAATTCTGTCCCGGAGACGTTTCATTACATGATGACAAGCGTTCAAGTCGAACTGCTTAGGTTGGTGTACACAATTGGGTAGGATAGTCATACGGCTGTGCTCGAGATCCAAGACTGAGGTAAACCGTATCAAACTGAACAGATGAAAATCGCAAAACGTGTCCCTGACTCATTGGGAAGCTCGACATTTGTGCTCCACATTGATTGGGAAACTCGCGAATCACAACGAAACAGCGTTTACGACATGCATCTCGAACACAGTAAAACAGTACATTTTTGAAACTGTCGTGGTGCAAACGTGATAAATCACATTGAAAACTGAATTTCAACAATAATGGGATTTGTGTTCCACTAAGTCAATACAGTGTCTACCACAACTTTGGCAACCGGTCAACAGTTATTACACCTTGGCTGGAAATTCAAGCTGCATTCTCTAATAGCCCTGACCTTGAACCATCGAATTTCAAGTTACTTCGACGTATGTAAAACACTTTAAGAAATAAAATTTTTAAGGACGATGACCTCAAATCGCATTTAGTTAAGTTTTTTACAGATTAAGACCGGAAGTACTATGAGCACGAAATCATGTTTTCAGAGAGATTGTAAATGTGGAAGTTATATAATTGATTAAAGTTAGCTCCATGCATAAATCAGAACAATACAGAATCAAGGATCTTTTCTTGCCAACTAAACATGAGCTGGTGGCAAACTAACCTTTTAATTTGGCCTGTTCGTACATTTCTTTAGTCACACCCAGTTCGTGGGAAATCTGTTCACAATGTTCCTTGAGAGCAGTGTTTTCTTGATTTGCCTGAACCAGTTGCTCGTGCAATTGATTACGCTCCGTGGTAAGTTCCTTGAAATGGGAAAACATCGGAAGTAAGGAACCGTGCAATACGTACCTAACCGACGTGCGTGGCCGACACCCAACCTTGACCAACGAAAACAAAAGTAACAGGCAATTATAAGAAACGGGAGGGCAAATGAACACCGGGAGAACATTTGTGAACTGTGGAATGAGGAATAATGCAAAATGACAAGTTTTGATGAAACCAAATCAAATTAAACTACCGAAGACAGTTAATGAGGATGCTTTTAACTCACATTAACGCGCTGAGAAATCGTGGTCAAATTTGTTTTGTATTCATCAGAAATGTTGCTACAGGCATCCTGAGCGGAAGTGTATTCGCCTTGTAAATATGCGCATTCCTCTTTGAGGTCCTCAAGAGTTCGCTACAATTTGACAGTCCAAATTAGGTCATGTTCAGGGAAGAAAAGACACTGTCACTGATAACGGACTAACCTCAAGATCTCTGACACGCTGCAAAGCAACCTCCTTATCCTTAAGGAGCTTGGTTAATTGGTTCTTACTTTCTGCCTCCTGGAGACTCTTTTCTTCGAGTAATTCACTCAACCTCATTTTGAGTGAACCTTCGGGAAGATCCTAGGCGGATCAAACGGTAAATGATAAAAGAACAACCTCCTTGAACAGTCGCATCTGCGCTTCGTAAAGGTCCAATTTCTGCAGCAGCTTTTCCTCATTGAGCATTGCCTGCCACCCTAATTCTGAGGCGACTGTAGCTTGCTGAAGAGCCTGCCGTAAGGTCTCTAATTTCTTGTCGAGTGCTTGTTCACGAAAAACCGTATCACTCAAGAAGTAGGAAATCTGGAACATCTGCTCATTGCTGATGGAAATAAGGCCACTGGGAAGGACATCACCTGTGTGACCAAGCTTGGGTCTTGCTTCCTGACCATTTGGGAGAAAAAGAGTGACACTTGCAACTATACAACCATGTGTCGTATCGTGTTCAACGACATCCACGCCGAAACGAATTACGTCACCTGAAAATATTTGCCGATCACTAGACTCGCTGTCATCTCTTTTAGAGACTCGGGTATTGTTTACGAATGTTCCATTGCTGCTGTTTGTGTCTCGCAGCCAAAACTAAATGGATAACGCTGTTTAATAAAAGGCATACCTCATCAGAACTAAACCAAATAATGGCATGATTTCGCGAGAGCACTTTGCAGTCAAAAATAGCGTTGTTAGGGGCTGCCTTAGATCGGGCAACAGCACGGCCAACTTTAATAACTTCATTGACAACAATGGTGCGATCCTCAAAACGGTGTGAGTCATGTTGACAGGTAAGAATCATAACGGGCTGTCCTTTCCGCTGCATAATTATTTTGATTAAACGTAGATTTTTTTAGGATAATGTAACCTAAAATCCAATTCAAAAGCGGAAAATAGAATTACTGAGGGCGAAAAAATGTGGGATGAACTGCACATGTAGTTGCCTGACAAGACACGAAAATAAGCGGATCTTGGTTAAGAGAAGGAAAGTGAGAAGGTTCATATTCAAGACAGACAGTATTAAAATGCACATTTTTACAAGAAAATGACCCTGATCTGCGAGCAAAAATATTGCGACAAATATTGGATTTTAAAACAATGGAAATCGTCAATGACGATTACATGAGTTATTTTTACACCATTTGTAGGTCAAAGGAGCAGCCACAGAGATAACTTTGTGTCGATACAACAAAAGCAAAGATCTTAGCGATCTTTCACCGAGTTTATAATGAAAGCCGTCTTATTCGGTGGTGCGAGACAAAGATCAAGAATGACACTGAAACCATAAATACATCCGCATGTGTCCACGATAGATAAAATACCCATGCTAAAAAGTTTTTTTTGCTAAAACGAGACGGATAAAACTCTTTAAAACGGGTTAACCCAGTGTTCAAAAGGGAAATATGAAAACGATTCAGGAATATAACTCAAACGGGAATGTATAGCGGGTTAGTCTGTGACAAGCTTAAGCTACATAAGACAGACAATAATTCCGATACCTCGTTTGCCTTGAAATTCACACCACTAAAGGAGGTTCCGAAAAAAACTTACTAATAAAAGCAAATTCATTTCCCATGGGAAAAAATCGGTCCAAAACCGTGCAAAAGAATACTCAAACTGATACTCCAAGCAAAGAAATATACAAAGAAACATCAAGTCACAAAAACAGCAAAAGAACATTTTGCAGCACAGCCACATTTCCAAATTTAAGGAATTTAGCCCTAAATCATGTGAAAGTAATATGAACACAATAGGCCCAACATGTTCGGAAAAAAGTGCCCTTAAGACATAAGAAAGCCAGAATCTTACAAATACAGAAAAATTATCTGACTGACCAAATTAAGTGTGCTATTTCCTAATTTCCATCGAAACCATCCAGTCATATGGCAAAAACGAAAGTCTGGACCAGGGCTTACGAATAGCGCTCCCTCACAATTGATTGGTAGCTAAAACATTCGGTAATGACAACAAAGGGTTTCTTATGTGCTTATTTTGGTTTGATAAAAATACTCACCAAATTAATAAAAAACGACAAATTTTTGTTTTCGATACGTTAAAAATGTACATAAATCATCATAAAATAACTTTATTTACAGAACCATAGAGATAAAGTATTATACTCATAAAGTACCTACTTAGCAAGGTTTATTTCATAAATCTGTAATGCACGCAAGCCTACACCACACTAAGTATGAGCCTTATAAACATCTGGAACAAACAATTGGATCTATTATGACACTAGAAGTCCCATTAAACGAAAGCATTAATTGTGTGATTTTAAGCAGCATTCGACTAAATTCCAAATAGTGGTAAATGTGTGAGTTTTATTAAAGCTGTTCTTCAAAAAAAGCATTTTTATGCTGAGAGATTTCATTGGTGTAACTGACAACTCCTAATTCATAAAAAATGAATTCAGTGGTTAAAATCTAAACGTAATTGTCCGAAAAAATATAATGTTTTACTGATGTGAGTTTTTTTGTCTTATTTTACCATTACCAATTCCAAAAAACATATTACAGTTCTTAATAATTATTACTGCACTTAAGTAATTCAGGTTAATGTCATTTAAGCAATAAATTGTCATTTATTATTCTTGAAGAGGATATCAAATTTATGTTAAGAAATTGAACGATAAAAGGATAAATTGAAATTTCCTGCTAATTACTTGCATGCATGCAAAAGGGGCAATTGTAGATTTTAACCTGACATTTTATCATTAAAGGTACTTTTTTTACTTGTCGATAATCATTAATTCTGAATCCCACAACAGAACATTTTTCTTCGTGAAATTTTTTGCCCATAATTTACTTAATTTAAAATTCAAATTAATATAAATCACCTTTTGTCTGTATTGTTATTTAAGAAGACTGCATACGGGAACGCAGCGAAAAAATCTGAAATTCAAAAAGAGAAGGATTGAAAATTAGTAGGCACTTTTTTCAGATCAGCGTTAGTTAGACTAACAATGTTCACAGAATTGTGGTGATTGTTGCAGCGGTTACTGTTTAATATAACATACACTCTGTTGAAATTTCCAGATCATATTTACAAATACGTTTTCATGCTTATAATCCCGTTAGCAAGCCTCGAATTTCAAAAACGGTTATTCTGTACGATGTCATCCACAGCTTTATATTGCTTTCAGGACCTTGTAGGCTTTTGTTTTTTTGCCGGTCATGTCACTTATTAAATGACAGATTTTGCAATTGGTTATAAATTTATTTCTCTCAGAACATGAAAACGTTTAAAAATCGGAAAATTAAAAATGGCAGCAAAAAATACTATATTATTCAAAAAATAATCGCCTGTAAATGCTCTATCTGCTTGTGTATCTAGAAATTGATGTTAAATAAGTCGTAGTAATCAAAATTGTCATAGGCATTTTGGACAGCTCATTTCTGCAATAGAGAACATCCAAAATATTCACACAATTCTTCTAACATCTTTGATGCTATTCTAAAAAAAGTCCTAAATTCTGCAGAACACTGTACAATCTAAAAGCTACAAAGAAAATATTGAACGAGTACTTGGGTGCAACTAAGTTTTAGTGGCAACGTTTTGCGAGTCGCTGGATATGGGGCCACAAAATACTTGTAAAAACCTAACCTTGGCTATTGTTATTAAGTCAATTTATGCATCTTAATAACATTCGTAAAGAAATCTAGACGTGAAATTTGTAGGATCAATGTTTCCATTACAAATAATGTAGATCAATCTTGTCACGAGAGCAAAAATGCAGAGTGAAACCTCTATTTTGTGTGTTTCTAGAATTTGGCGATGGAAAACTAACCCCATATTCTAGCACTTAATGCTGATGACTCAATTCAGTGTAATCCTTTAGCTTTTTCTTCTTGCTTCTTTTAGTACAAATCTATTACATGGGCAGATATCTTACTATCCATTCCTTCAACTCAAGATATTTGCAAATGATTTTTTAAATAGCTAGAGCTCTGTCAGCGCTGTTTGAAGGCTATTGATAGTGCTTGAGACTACCGGTCGATGCAAAACTATGCTGTAAATAGCTTTAGAGAAGCGCAACATACCCTGCAACATACCTGTGCCACTGATCTAGATCCAAACTAAGAATTAGGACTAATTATAAAGTTTCGTGCGTCTGCTGCTTATGGAACATCATACAAAAAATGATCAGAATATGTTAACCATTAATGCCTGGTCTTGCATAGTGTAAAGAATGCTTGGAAATACTTTCAGTATAAAATATCGCTTTTTAACTACAGTTGTGAAGTGTTTGCTAAGGTAGAAGACAACAATGGAACATGAAAAGTTTTATATCATGCTAAATTCATTCGTCAACATAAGTGTTGTCAACGTAAAGAAAATACTTGAGGGATGCTGCCAAGCGAATTAAACGTAAAGACTCCTAAAACGACGTCATTAATCTACCTTGTCAATAAACAATTAAGATACAGCAAAAACAGAATAATATTGTATAAAATTATAGCTCACGAAATTCATTCTATAACTGACTATAGCCACTATTTCTAATTGAAGTGTAATTGAATCACAAGGTTATGAAAGAATTTAATGATTGTTTTTAGAAAAAAGAAAATAAATAGGTGGTTTAGAATAAAAAATAATGCTGAGAAATGCCGTAACCAGTTTAGAAAACACTTGAGAAAACGAGGCGGATTTTTTAACGCCTTTTGAAAATTGGATGCGCTAAAGAGGTATTTAAAATAAAGTCAAACAATTGAGCATACATTATCAGCATGTACGGATTTACGCACCCAAATCAAAAAACAGTATAAACAATCCATCAAGGAAGATTTTAACATTGAATATCCTAACCAATAAATGCTGCAAAAAGTAGCAGAACATATAGTAAAAGTAAAACAGTAAACATACACAACAGAAAGTCCTTGACATTAACAGAGATCCAACAATACCAGTGTAAAAAATTAAAAGATCACACGGAAAAATGTGAAAATTGCTCTAAACTTCTTATGTATTTCCCAAAATCACCATCCTGTTCCTTAATCAGCCATGCTGAAAGTAGTGTTATGAATTGAGTTGATTTACACTCGTTTATGAGATCACTACAACCCCAGACACGATGCCCTTCATTCCATTGCATATCGTCAGCTGCGCAAAACCTCAACACTCTATTTATTAGCACGACACCTGATGTTTCTAAGGCGTAAGATCGAAAAGTGAAACCGTACATAAACGGTGTTAAGGAGGGGTTGAAGAGAGGAAACAAGCTTCTGCTAACATCATTCCAGGTTAGAATTTATTTTTCCTATTATTTAAAAGCTGGCATTTGTGCTCCATTCTCGTAAACTATATTCGCGAAGGAACGCACAATCTGTCATATCGTGCCTCTTTACTTCATTGTTTTTAGTTCCGTTCTTCGTTATATCACCGCTTAAAAATTGTTTCACGGAGAATCTTGCAAAGGCAGTCTGTCTCAAACTTACCTTTATACTTTTACGTTTTATCTTAAAGGTAGTAACGTCAAGTGACATAGTTTATATTCAAAAATTGTGAAGGATTTAATGACAGTTAATACATACAAGAATTTTTTATCAAGACCAGTGCACCAGGGTTCCAAAATGTCAAAACATTGACTAGCAACTTCCGCATAACAAAACAGCTGTATTGCTTGATTTTTTAAATCACAGGCTTTTAATTAGTGAATTTTGACCAAAATTAAGAGTCTGGCCACGAAACACCCCTTTATTCTATTTGAAAAATTACTCTTAACTGCCCAATCTGTCTTATCAATCTAACAATATTTCATCTTTGATATTGCGACATGTTTGTCCAGCAAACAGCTACGTAGCTTTCCAACCGGATAGAATAACTGAAACAAATACCTAGCAAATGCAAGTCTTTGGGTTCCAGTATCATTCAAATAATAACAGGATTTTTGATTTCACTCAATTCCTACTTTTATTCTTAAATCCACTATTTGTTATTAAAGTTGACGATAAAACGTTTAGTTAATTTTGAGAATGTTAGCCGATCGGTCTGACATGAGAAGTCAGTAGTTTCACATAAAGTTTACAATACTACTCCTTTTACATCTTAACTTGTGCTACAAAATAATACATAACTTTAATTCGTCGAAGTTGTAGCTAAAATGCCTATTATCACCGATTGTGGCAAAAAAATTATCTATACTTTAAAATATTTTAAAAATGGGCCTTAATTGCTGAAGACAAGTGTGCGACTTTCGTGCTAGTAGTTAAAATGCGGCAGAACAAGATATGTAAGCGAGCAATTCGGCATACATTTGACTTAAAATAGTTTTAAATAATACTGGCCATTACCTGTGCAGTAAAAACAAAAGTGCTTCTTAGGTATGAAACAACGCTGTGATTACTGACAATTTGAACTTTTTTTCAGTAGTGAATCTACAACTACGTTACTTGAAAAGTAAAAGTACAACTGACGAATGAACAACGCTGCAATGTTGCCTTTCAATTATAGCTCTGTATCTTTTACGTAGGTTGTTGTATCCATTTGCACGATATGATTATATTAGCGTCATTTTCCTGGCATGAATTTTTTCCAAAAAACTCAAATGTTCACCATCGAAGAATCCAGGCAGAGTTAAAGTTATGGATTTGATGTTGTAGAGTCACATTTAACTTTTTAAAGTAGGACGAATTTTCCTTATAACCATAATATAGATATGCTAGGAGCAAAGTCATAGGAGGAAATTAAAATTATATAAGAATATATCACCAATGCAATCCAGTCCCAAAATTATTGCAACTTCTTATTTGTTTCTATTTTATCGCTTTTTTTATAATAACTGGCATTTTTTTCACAAATAATTTCAAAAATCTTGCTATCGCCTTCCTAGCTTTGCTAATTTTTGTTCTTTACTCAATCCTTGTTTTACTCTCTGTGTCATCGGGCTCTACCCCCGCCTGTCTTAAAGAGTTTTCTTATTTGGTTTGTTTTGGTCATGCAAAGTGAAATTGATCAGCTGGTGGAAATGGGCTGGACTAAGGAATTCGCGTAATGATCATTGTTTATTTTTATTAACTTAGTGAAAAGGCGTTAAATGAATCGAAGCATCAAGGTCTCCAGGCTGCGCTTGAGTGGTATGTTTTCTTTTTTGGTCAATTTGTAGGATAATGGATCATCCTAATACTGGAGACGAGGAAGATCAAGGGGCAAAATGTGAGTTAAATACGCCTTTTTAAAAGTTGTCTAGGTGATCCTGGGGAATCTCCATGTCAACCTTCGCTTAATTCCTCATTGCAAAATCGTCGGGTTTATATATGTGACAAGTAAGTTGGTATAATACTGTAATCCATTATTTTTTAGTTGCGGAAAGCGCTTAAGTTCTACAGAGGATATCCAAATGCACAGTGCCCGCACTGGACACTCAGACTTCAAGGAGTCAGATGTTCCTTATGTTCATCCTTCCGCCGAAGAAAAACAAGCAGAAATGCTTCGCTTGCAGGTACTTATTGCAATATCAATACGTTCTACGCTTTAATTAAAGGAACAAATAAAACTACAAAAGTTTCGGAATGAGGAAGCTGAAAGGCGAAAAAACATTGAGGATGAGAAACATCGTCGGCAGCAGGGAAAAGTACTCTTGAGTGCCAAAGCCAAATTTCAAGAAGAAGAGATGAAGCGGAATGCTGAACAGTTAAGGAAAGAAAGAGCTGAGGACAAAGCTTATCGGTTTGTTCCATTGTCCTTATTCTATGGCTAAAAACTTGAGCAAATCTCAAGCGGCTTTGTTGTGTGGAAACGTCGGTAGGTATTGAAATGCCTTCACCGAGTTTTCACTTGCTACAAAATTTGGCTGTTTCCTACCCACGCTGTAACTTTTTACTTTCATCATTAAGTACATCTATGTGATGGGAAGGACATCACTTCTAGAGGTTTTTTCCCACACTTTGTGCTCTGGCTGTTCTCGCATTTTAATTTGCCAACAAGATTCTTTATTCGGAGACTTCACACTGATTTCGTCATCCTTATTACATTTCTTCAGTTCATCAAAAATAGTTTTACGTGCTTGGTTTATAATGAAAAGCTGTTGATGTCGGCGATTTCAATATAATTTTGCGATGTAAAGCTGCGTTGTTTCTCCTTCTGCTAGATCCTCTAACGTGGCTTTGAATATCCATTTTTAAAGTTTATTTGGTAAATTTTACTTTGCAGGCGATTGGGCTTGTAAGCAAGCCTTCTTCAACTCCTTGTAGCCATTTCTATAAATTCCTCTTCAGCTACAGGAGCTAACCTTATTTCCTAATTTTTCCCAGGGAGAAATTGCGAGCCGAAATTGCAAGAGACAGAGCAAATAGGGTACGTTTTTAATGTTAGCACATGTACCCATTGCCATTGAAAGGGTCCTGGTAACTGAAAATCGCCTTTTTTGTCCTTTCATATGCCTATCACAACGCCTATGTAGTTTGTAAGTTTCGAACTCACTAATCGTGATTAGTTAAGGTGGTAGTGGTAAGACCTTTCAGGCGTTAATTTGGAGCAACTCGCCACACGTTAGTGAATTTTAAAAGATTTAAATTGACGTACAGCAATTACAACAAAGTCTTTTTCTTCAACCGCTGTAGACAAAGGCTTTGAACGGCGTTAGCGCTTTTGCAGCGGACCCTAGTTCCTTTTTTGCTGTTAACTAATGTCTGTTAACTGTGTCCTTATTTGATAATATTATGATAAAGCCTAACGAAAGAATTAGGGCTCTTACATGTTTGCTGACATTTTAGGTATCTACCATAATTTTTGATGTAAAAGATGTGTTACAGCTCCTCCCAAAACACGTGAACGAAATTATCTATTGGCATTTTTTCACTTGTAGTAAATACCTTAAAATTTAGTTGTTTTACGCCCAATAACCTAGGAAATACTAGTGACTTTGATCCCAAACATGATTCTCTGAAAATGCTTGTCGTCAGTTTTGTTTTTTTTCGAGTACTATTATTCTCTGATATGCATTTCCTTGAAATTAAAGATAAAACAGTTTTTACTAGTCTCAGCACCTGGTGGATGCCTATCTATATGACGGATTTGACATCGTTTTTTGATTATCGGTAAGGCTAAAGCGAGATTGTGTCATCGTCACTCTTGATTTGGACCATACACGATTTCACACTTAATTGTCTGTGTGACAAATAATTTGCCTATAAAGTAGGAGCACCACTTGAGCAGTTCAACTAGGCGAAACTCGAAGGTGTTTCTAGTCAGTATTGGCTCTAGCTTATTTCGGGAAATCACCGCAAGAGCGGATTCGAGCGCTCAAAATCATGCCGTGGGATTTCGGCTCACCGAACTTTGCTGCAGTTAAACAGTGCCATTGCAAATTGGCTGGTAGCGGGGGATTACGGTAGCATAAAAATGTTAATGTTGACAGTACGAAGTGGTATTAGCGAATTAGTTGGGATAGGGTGTCAACCCATGGTGCCAAATAGTGGGATATTCTCTATTTTTGTTCTACAATCCTCAGCGTTTAATTATTTATTGGTTGTGGAAATAGCGAAAAAATGCCAACAAATCGAAGCTAATTTAATGACTGAAGAATTTGGACAGGCGACTTGCATAAGATAAACTTTTGGTCTCTATTGGTAACATTGTTTTCTCTATCGACCGGTTTCTCGTGCACTAGATACATAGTAGCTATCATTGGACAATCGCCAGCTTCCCCCCAGAAAATAGTCAAGGATTTTAGTCCCGTACCAATTATTTAGTCCCCTTTTTCAGAACCAGAGAATGCGTTTTCGTCGCATACCTGTTCGGCATAGCGGATCAAATCTTTTTTAATCTTAGGTTGCCCATCAATCACCTCTACTACCGGCATTGTCAACAGCAGTTCCACAAACCTTAACAACCTCTCCAAACTCAGGTACTCCGTCGGACGTCACTGAATGTCGCCTCCAAATACGAACTCCCACTGGACAGCCACTAAAATGCACCTTTCAGTCATCCGATAATCTGGAAGTTGTGGCGCAATTTGTTGGTCGAAATTGGCCAGCGGATTCCAGTGGTGTTTCGCCCACCATAGTTGACTGCCAGGAAATCACTCTACAGACGGCGTTCCCCAGCAGAAAGTTTTGTGTCGACGACTTTCCCAAAACACTTAAACAATTAGGTAGGCAGTGTATGAGGCGCTAATGACATCAATGCTTGAAAGTTCTGTCTAGAGGGCTATTGCATTTATGATCAGAAATAACTAGGGATGAGTGAAGTACTTTTTGCACCTCGTGATGAGTGTCGGTATTTTTCTCGTGTCGTGACTTCTGTATCGTAAACTATGGATTGAATTAGCTTAGTAGCTGTTGTCAGTCTCGCAAGTCTTGACTTTCGCTTCTTTTCACCTTTGAAAGGACATTTGTACAATTTATAATCATATTTCCGAAGTTATTTTCATTCAACCTGCATTCAGTCAGCACCTCAAATGTACGGCTTGAATCATTGCGACGGCCACTGTGACGCTCCACCTTTCTTTTATTGGGAAAAAGACGTCTCGTGGAGAAGGGCTTTTGGCTGTCGGTGCACAGAAATTGTGTTGTACATGACAGGACGACGAAGCGGTGCGAACAATAAACCGGCGCAGTCGCTGTGAGATTGTGTTCAGGGAGTTTTAGGCAGAAAATAATAACTATAGTTAATAACAAAAGTAAAAAAATTCGGAAAGAGTTGTTTTGAGAAATGTGTATTTCCCAAGCTTGTTTTTTTAAGTAAATTAACCAGGTAAGTCTAATTTTTTTGGGATAACGCTATTGTGTCATATTTTTCTAACACCGAAGTCCTTTGAAACGTAGCAAGATGTGCGTTTCGTTCTTCTAATCTACAATGAGCGATCTCGTCATTCCATAGTTCTATAAATTTATGCCTCATTCGTCCCCATTCTTCTATTAAATTGGACATTGTAATCCTCTTCACGAAGGTGGCCGTGTTTAGGCATATCAGTACGCGGTTTTCATTGTGGCCGTCACTAGTGCTTACGGTGACAGACCTGAATCGGCGTGTACTTTAATTGGGGCGAAAAATGTTTTACAGCATTCCGGCAGTCGTTCGTACCATAACTTTGTTACCCTGCGCGTATTTATCCCATATCGTTTTGTAGCAATTTTAGTGTCTAAAAAACATCATTTATTATAATCGCCATTAGACCATTCAGGTCAAAATGTGGTCGCGAGTTGATCAGTTTTGATGCCTTTACGGTTGCGCGTAATTGTTGGGAGATTTTTTCATTCGGTTATCCCCCTAACACACTAACCGTGCTTCTTATCTATTGTAGGTCTGTGTCCGTCAGCTGTCCTAATGGCGCAACGACGATCGCCACCTTAAGGGATTTCGTGATCGTATCCTTCAACTTTTATTTCATCCATTAAGAAGTTTCGTTTGCTGTGTAATTTATGGGTGTGTTTTTCAGGCCTTGAAGTACATAACATGAGGTTAATTCACTTGTTTTGATTTAACGCGCTATCTTTACTCGCTGAACTCGATTCGACGCCCAGTTACACGAGCTTATAACTGAATTTACCAAGGTTTCGCACTAGTACTTGGACTGCTCCAGTTGCGTTAAATTTCCACAATTCCAATTAACATTGCTTCACGGAACACAATGACGATATCTAGGTTTTGTGTGCGTTACGTGTTCGCACTGTTGCATCAGAGCTCAGGGAGGCCGTGATGTCTAAACAGCCTCAAATAGAGTATTTTGATAAGAAGCGGCCTTGATGCTGCATTTGTTGAATAAAGTCAAGATGGTGTACTCTGTGAAGCTTGTTAACTCTAGCGCGCCTTAGCCGGTTCCAAAATCACAGGATATTGGTGGTTTAAAAGAGGCGGGATTAATTTTTTTGATGATTGTATGTCGTGAAGAGATTTGCCAAGCAAGCGTCGAATGTTAAGATCATTGAATCGGGAAATGCGGCCAGAACAAGAAAAACGAAAGTCGAGTGATGAGATTAGGGTGATTAGTTGTCCCAGGGATGTGTTAGGAATCTATGTAGGGTGCCGGAAATTGGGTGTCATCCAGTGGGGATTGGGGCTGGTGCTGTAGATACGTTTGCTGTCTGAGGAGAAGGAGCTAGAAAATAGGGAGCCCAGTGGATCAGATGTTGAGAGATCAGGCGAGAAGAGATCGTGAAATGTAGCAAAATACGCAAAAAACGAATCACGAGTGGGAATGAGCACAGCGAATGGTCAAAAATGAACTCGATAAATCAAGTCAGAGCCCTCTGTGCGAAACGTTGATTATTAGCTTGTAGGAAGTAAAACGTGTTCAACAGCGGGGCCATCAATTTATTGCGGCCACGGTTGCGGTAAAAAAACCACACCAGGGCTGACAATTTGCGTTGATACGGTGCCACCGAAATAAGAGTAGAAGTGCACATGGAGCGCAGCTCAACTTATTTATTGATGAAGTAGCAATGAGATTGTACAAGATAACAAGTTCGTTTACATGGCTTCGCTAAGCATCGGTCCACGAACGAACAGATTTAAGTGAAGTGCATTAACGTAAATCGATTGAATGAATATAATGGACTGTAGTAGAGGAAGCAAGGAACACATATCTAGCATGTAATATAATAATTAAGACTGTTATTTGATAATGTGGTCATAACAGGGTTAAGGTATTCTATTATTGATTGATGGAAGTCAATTTACACTCAAATAAACCTGACAAATCGCATTACACCGTTAGCATTAATATTTCGTAATGGCATATGGTTTGGCATTATTAATTGCAAGTTTTTTAAGAGAACAACCTAAACATATCTAATTGCATTTCAAAACTGACGAGGACAGATATTAACCTAATTTTGATGCACAGCCATCTATAAAGGGATTACGTATAACGGAATCACTAAACAATAATATGCCGGAAGCGAATAAACGACCTTAAAACATTTATGCAGGATTGCGAAATATTCGGCACTTTTTGTTTTCTCTGAATCTATTTGCGAATAAAAGATTGCATGTTGTCAGTGGAATCAAAGGGTCATTTGTTTGGTTTGATAAATTTTGTAGTCGTTCACATTGACGTTCCTTTACATCAGGCCCAAAAACAATACAAAATTATATTTTAACTGCTACTTAACTATGGTGACACTTGAATTTTGAGGTGGAAAAATGTAACCTTGAACTTAATAATTTGGTTGAATAGGCAGTTTTTGATCTCATTACAAAACGCGGAAAATCAATTGTCGTATCTATGGCCGATGAATGTAATAAAAAGGCGTTAATGGTATGCATTCGGGAAAGGGCTCTTACCCATCATACGCACTTTTACAATGAACATCGTAAGTGATGCAAATTTCGGATTTTACCCATTTAGCTGTTGATTTATATCGCAAAATATCCACTTTGTTACGGCGTTATCCTAAACCACGTAACGAGGAAACTCGAACGCTTATTGTCCCGTATGCTGCATTACGTCTAATTTATCTTTAGGAACAATGCTTTACGTTATTCAGCAGACATCATGGCACGTGCATACGCTCAAGTCTGCCCCACAAATATGTTGCATTTCAGTTTCATCTAAGTTTTGATTTAGAAAACGAATATTTGTAATTACGCCATACAAACGTTTTGCGGAAAATAAGTTTTTGTTTTCATCAAGTGACTGTGTGGTTACTCCATTTTACAAGATCCGGGTTAACAAAGATGGTAAGTTGCATTCAAATCAAATATTTTTGTCAAATATTCCGGCGCTTTCTCGAACATGAGGACTTTATTTCCTAATGGACTTTTTTATCAGAGGTGATTTATGTATGTTTGCAATTATTTTCTGCGAAACGCACTACTATGCTTCCGTGAAAAGGGAACTCCTGAACACAATTGCTCCCTCTTTCCTTCCATCAAACCGTGTTCGCAAAGTACTTAGCATAGGCCTGCAGTCGCTATCTTGAACTGCAAAAATTTTTGCAGCATTTTTGCCTAAGAATGAAGTCTGTGTAGTTAGAATTATCACTATTGTTTATATACCGGTTAGAAAATAGTACTGCAAAATACCTCTGATTTAAAATCAACTCGATGAAACTGAAAATTCGGCTTAGTTAGAAATGTCACAATTAATTAATGATGATATCTGTCTTTTTGTATAAAGCGAGGTGAAAAAAATTGATTATTTTGCGCATTTTTGTAATTTTTACTTTACTGGTCAGGTATACCTTATTGCAGTTTTTTTATTAATCGCAGTGCCATACCTAAGGGCATGCATTTGTTCGTGTTATTGAGGGCACACAAAGTTAACTATTTAAAAATTTCTAAAAGTGGCACTTTGGATGCTTTATTTCGGTATCGAAGTTGTAATTATTTTTCTTTCACAGGAATTTTTTCAAATGTCACGGTATCTTTTTTTACAATTTTTCCTTTCTGTATGGCCATGTGAGGTCTGCTACATTATGTTCCTGAAGTTTTATCCTACTAAAATTTTGGTCATCTTGTCAAATGTTTTTATATGGAAAATAGCGCTATTTAGTGAAGAGGTAAAAGACTTTTTCAAATGTGTACCTAAAGTTTCTAAATACTGAGAACTAATAGAGGCTATTGAAAATCACCGTCATTAAGCAAATTTTGAATAGTGTTTTTATAAATTAATATGACTTCCATTGTAAAGTCTTTGAATTTTAAGCTAAGTTGATTAGACTACTAGTGAATAATTGTAGAAATTTTCCCAACAAATATGGTCTTACTAGTGAAATGTCATGAATAATGGGATTGCGGTACTTGTCTTTAGCTACTTAGTAGGTACACTAGCAACCTCAGTTTATCATGTTTCAACCTAAGCGCTAGGTCTACTGCCAACACTGAGATTAACGCTGGGAGCCTGGTTATTTGCTATCATTTTGAAGTAAATCAAACTGAAAAATTAGTCATTGGCCTTTATTAGTATATGTATTAAGTTGCCGGAAAAGAGTGTTAATGTTTGCAATAATTTATCAATAATAGTCAGCTTTGTGGTAAACACCCAAATTCATTGCTTCCGCCACCACCATCAGGTTGATGGTCCCGCGTCACCAAGTTTCAAGGACGTTGTTAATCTAGTTCTTGAGATCTTTGTTGATGTTGAATATTTTGCCGTAATTTGGGCCGGTAGTTGATAGTATGAGGAAACCACTTCCAAACTGTGCAGAACTGTGTAAGATCTCTTACCCTAGGCAACAGTGTTCATTTGTAATTGGAAAGCGTAGAGTTGTTAGTCAAATGTCTGATTCCAAAGGGACATCTACTGGGTACTAATTTTGCCGTCCCAGGACACAAATCGTTGTCTTCTGTGATGTGAATTTTTCTTGCTTCCTCAACTCTGTCCATCAATTCAATACTTTTACTTAAAACTAATACTAGGGTACTCCTTCGCGTCACGGGTTAAAATGTGCACCCACAACCATGACATTTATCCATCGGTGCCCTGTATCATGCAAACAAACCTGTTACAATCCCTAAATATCGTGGTTTTGTTTATCACTTAACTCCTGTGGCACCCATAATTACCTTTGCCCATAATTTTGTGGCCCTGTTCGTTGATTCCAGATAGTGTTTCGATCGGAATTAAGGATTTGCTTTTACATGCATCTGTCCAACTTATTCGTGGTTTTGCATCCCTTTTTCATCGGAAGCTTGTTCTACTGCTCTTTGTTGAGATTAGTAAGACGGCTGAAAAGAAATGCAACATTTGGTTCAAGAATGTCGTTTGCCAAGTTGGCAAAGCTTTTCCCTGCCTCTCACTCGGTAAAGATATCTTTCCTGTTAGCCTCACAAACTTTCTAAGCCGCGCTTGTGTTTTTTAAATGTCGTCGGGGATGTAAATTTTCGTCAATCTGACATTCTAGTATTTTGGGCAAAAAATAACCAAAGCATAACATTAAATAGAAATGTGCAACAGCGTTCATGAAGACTTAGGAATTCACTTTTACATGAACATGCAGCGCATCGTCAAACATAAGTGGTTATGGAACAAAATCGAAATTACTTAAACGAACTGTCTTATGCCCTAATCCTGGTTGATATTTTTTTCTTTGACACTATTGGCAACCCATATGTCATTTACGCGTAATTCGTGGAAACGAGATCCTGTCAACGCATTGTAGATGGATCCTGTGGAGTTTGCGGTGCGTTTCGAAGGCCAAATGATATTTGTATTACCTCAGAGAGTTTGGTTGATGTTGCGATGACTTCATTAGGCGCGTCTTTATCAGTTGTGATGAGCTTAGCGATATGTTGATACTAATTTTCAGGTATAAAATAAAAATCCAAACGAACAGGTAAAGACTTTTTTGCTTGGCGTCGCATTGCAGTCGTGTTTGCCACCAAGTAGCCTCATCTACAGCATAATTGAGTGCCAAGAGGGACCAGAAAAGAGCTGAATAATAGTTTCCGTGAGTGCTTTGGAAGACAAATATGGCCACGAAAAAATGCCTACTTCGACGCAGATTAGTTATCCTTTTGTCGTAATATATGTGTGTGAGGGTTGCTATGATGATTGACTGGCTTATGTAAGCAAACTTGCCACTGATTCATTAAAAACAGAGTTTGTTTATTGCCTTTTAATACTTCTGTTAAAAAATGATTTCGGGTTTATTTAGAAATGTGTGTCCATTTGCCTCAAGTTCCGAGGATTCTTCATTGTCCAGCTTAAAACATCAAAAAACTTTGTAAGATTGACACTTTCATTTCCCTGAAGCAATACAACGATATTATGATAAGGGAATCCAATATGGTTGCTATCATTCGACTAAGAAATGATTAAATTAGTGGTTGTGACTGTGTTGTGTCCCGTCATTGTCGTCGAACTGAGGCCTTTTTCATGTGGACAGATTGGCGAGTAGAAATTCGTTCGGATTATTGGAGGCACTAACACCATTGTTAACTTCCAATGAGGGGCAGCTTTTTAATGATAACCCTTTGCAAATTGATTGTAGTTAATCTTGAATCGGTCTTCGCAGTTTGCATGCCTGGGTTAGGTTAAAAGATGATGCCTAGAAATGGGTTGGCTGTTGATGCAATATTATTTTACAATCAATAACTCTCATTTAGCGAAAACACTCGGTTCTACTTAAAAATTCCCCTTTGAAACTAGCTAATGGCTACACAGGACCTCGTTTAGCGGAATTGATTTGTGGTAATCTTTGGTATATAGTCTCAATGCAACTACGTAGCGTAGTGTAGCCATTCTTCTATGGTCGATTCATGTTCAGTTTTGCACTGAACTAAGTATTAATCTAATTGGAGAATGTGATCTGCACTTACACGACATTTAGTTTTCAGACCACAATATTTGTGGAAAAGTATCATTGTTTCTGGCTTGGTAATTGGTAATGAGGCTTTTAAATGAACCTGCATAAATGTTTGGGTATTTTTAGTTTGCGCCCTTGGTATTTAAATTTAAACTGACTTGTCAACCCCCAATCAGACTAATTTGTGTTGAGGAGAAGATTGAAGAATGTTATTGTTACTCGCATGTTCATTGAATTGCCACAGTGCTTGTGACGTAACGATGATCTGTTGCCTCAGTTGCAACTTGGCTAGATAGGACAAGAAATTTGAGTTGGGAGATATCACTTGAATTTTACAGATATCGTGCCCCCCACAACATTGTTATTAATTATGGTCTTTAAGACGGCTGCTCTTTAAGTAGTCTTATCGTGGCTGCAGTAAAAACACGATGCTGATGCAACAATCCTAGCAACATTGCAAACGGAAATAAGAAATCACATTCAAAAAGGAGATGTTCTTTAAACGGCCCACGCTAATGTGAAACCTTGAACTGTAATAAATTCACGAACCAAACCAATGTGCACTTGAAATTGGCCAACATTCAAGAACTGTACATAATTTCAAGTCCGGCAACATAAACTTTCTTGAACTAATTTCCTGGGAAGAAGAACTTACCTATCAACCCCGTTTTTATTTTGCCATTTAGTCAATTGGGCTATGTAAATATTCACGAAATAAGACGGCTGCAGCTTCCGTTCAGTCACTACTCTTCATTCCATTCCTCAAGCCCCAATGTTCGTCATGAACTGAGTTGCTCGTGACGTTTACATAAAATCCCACTTCAGGCATGAGGTGCCTGCGTCGTGTGGCATTACATTTCGCGTTCGGATCGACAAATATGTCGTTTAGGTTAAGCTAGTGACGTAACTCGACAGAGGACGGTCGAGTGTTAGCTTTTATCCTTTAAACACTTGGCCATGCTTATATGTTTCTGGTTTTTTACCCAACGTTTTCGCTGCCCACCTGGCCGACTGCCCATTGATGTCGGATAGAGGTTATTATTAACCATTAGGCTACACAACCATTACCCATTTGAAACATTTACCATGTGTTGCTGACGGCTTCTAAGCCACGTTTCGTGGAGTTGATTAAGTCAATAGCTTGTCCTGATCGCCGTACTTAATTAAACTAACCGGTTCAGCAGCGAAAGTAAATTGCATTGCAGAACGTGACATGCACAAGCGAGTGGGTATTTCACGATGCATTCTTGCAAGGTTTGTGGACATTTGATTTTCTGTGACAAACATTTGCCCTTCCTATGGTAAGTTTCCGTTTTCTCAGTGAAAGAATGCACTTTACTGCCGTTTTTGACCTGATTTCAGTTTGCCATGAAATCTGGAAAACGGGTGGCTGTGAGTATATCTCGCGGCTGGATGACGAAGAAAATCTAGGAGTTGAAATCCAATTGCCTTTCATTGCCAAAATAATGGAAGAGTAGGAGGTACTTTACATGTTACCATTTAGTTACATGGACAACTTCACAATTATCCCTATCTACGTTGGCTTCATCGAATATAATAACCTTAGTTGGTTTGCAATGAAATTAATGCCCTACTTCAAGGATAGCTCCAACCTCTTCATTTTCTCCCTTAGTTTGACACACTGGGGTAAGATGGAACTTCTTTGTGAACGACTAATGCTTTTCATAGGGAGTATATATGACTTCACTAAACTAGACGAGTCAAAACCGACTGTACTTGACACAATCAAGGAATACGACATGTGTGCCATAGAAGCCTTAAAGACTCTTACATTCAAGGCCTTTGACTTGCAGATATGCTTAGCCAAGACTCCCATGCCCGATTTTCCCACTTGGGCAATCTTTTTGAAGTTGACTCAGACACTTCTAGACGAGGAAGAGTATCGATGCAGACAACTTCCTGATGAGGAATTCTTCAAGTCCTACCAGGAGGTTGCGGAACTCGTGGTACACGGTCAGTCCTGGTCTCTACCAACTTTGACGAAAGAACGAAGCTCTATTTCTTTTGTTTCGGCTTCACTAAGAAGGTACTTCAAGAAGTGCTGGCCAGAACCTCCAGTCCCGGCCACGCCACAGTCTAAGAGCTGCCCATAACGGCAGCCAAACTTCCTCTTTATTGTTTAATTTGGGAATTTTCCCTATGAAGTGCTTGCATCACTTCATGCTGCTCTGTAATTGAGTTGAATAAACAGTATCCTTTAAATCAAACGACTGCTACAATTGTATGTGTGCGTGAGGGAGCTTTGGGATTCTGAACTAAGATAATTCCTTAATTATGACACTCTGGTATTGTACTGACAAAATCATGTGAGACTGCGAAGTGCGCTCAGTGAGGTGAGATGGGACTAGGCAGACTATTCTGATCTCTTCTAAATCCGACACAGACTGCTCTACATATAACTTTGATGATCCTGTCGACATATTCTCTAACATCCAGGAACCTCCTGGTGTCTGTTGTTGTAGGAGAAATTCTAGCCATTAAAATCTCCACTTCGTAATAAAACTCTATTTGGTTAATTTAAATTTGACGCTCTTAAACCTAACCCTGACACTTCAGATCCTTGGTTGCAGCGATTTTAATAGAAGTGGATTTCTGCCTAGGTTTTCTGAAACGATACTGAATAACAGGTGTTTACGTAGGTAAGGTTTAAGATAGGCTTATCTTAGCCTAGTTATCCTTCATAATGGGCAAACGATTGGACTGGAATTTTGATTATTATTATTATTATTTTCATGATTGCGTGCAAGTGGAAGCAAGTTGCAACGTGACCATGAGAGATGAGGTTCATTGACTACGGCCAAGGTAACTTACCAAGACAATACACACGGAAAAATGCGATCTAATGGGTATCATGAAGCACCTAAGTGGCCGACTTATTTGAATGCCAGACAAAAGTTTATGACCGTCAAAATGACACTTATGTTGTGGGGTCCTGACATTAGGTCTCAAACCACGCCGGGGCCACTGCGTTGGATCTGGCCCGATTACTCGACACGGGTACTCCAGATGAAGAGGGCCGGAGATTTCTGAGACAACCATTTACTGAATAATTTAACGAAGTTTAAGTTACCGTGTCCTGTGTAGTGTTTGCGTGTTTGTATTGATGGCTCAGAAGTGTGAAACAGGGTAAGTCATAGGCGGGCTACCATATGCACTTAGGTGAATAATATCACAAGTAGTGATAATCCCGAATACACGTCTGCGCTTATTCAATGTGAGTTGAGGTTCGTCCGCTGCTGACGGCATTCTGTGAAAAGGGGTATTGTGCCGGAGACTGGAGTTACGGGATTACCGAGCCTGCGTCAAAGCGATCCACAACAACTGTGGGGTCTGTGGTTCACAATTCTGAGGCATGGCAGCGACGAGAATACATACCACCACGCACCCAAAAGGCGGTGACAGGGGGGCACATAATCAAGAGTCGCGCTTTGCACGCGCGTGACATGCACATGGAAACAAGGTAATGCGCGACATTTTAAAAAAGG